TTCACCTGAAGCTATAAAATATAAAACAATTAGACAAGCAGCTGATGGTTAACTGAGACAATAAAGACATTAAATATCAAGGAGAGGCTCATCAAACAGCATGAAGCTGTTTAAACCTGAACATAAAGCTGAAGCACATCTGAGAGAACTCACCAGACAATTCCCTGAGCTCCTGAGCCGATGGGCTTTAAATTCTGGTAACGTTTTAAAACTGTGAAGGTGGAATCTCCCACTTCCACGCTGTAGAACTGGTTGTCCACTTTGCTTTTGCTCATGTTGTAATGTTTGGCAATATATGACACATCCACTTGTTTTCCAAAACCCTGCATGAGGCAAACAAAAGAAACACAACATGTTAGTTAGGCTGAAGGTGAATCTGGTTTTATCTAAAAAAAACAAAAAAAAAAAAAAGAAGAAGAAAATCAGTTCCAAACTCTCAGAAACTGTAGAAATTAAAACATGTTTGAAGAAGAAAAAGACATAAAATAGGCATGGATTTGCACCATTATAAGAAATCATTTAACAAAATATGACATTGCTTTGTAGTGGAAATTCCACTATTGTTTGCCAGCTTCCATCTCTTTGGCAAAATAAAATTTTATAGGATACACCTTAAAGCATGCGCAAGTCCTTTTGCTGCTTGGTATTTGACAGTTTTCCTGAATATTTCACCAGTTTCAAATTCTTCCCAACATTTCAGCATTATTCATCAGTTGTGGGCTTTGACTCATACATTTTATGAGCCTTTATTTCTGCTGAGCTTCATTATTCTATTAACATATTCACTCATAGCTCATCTTTAGCTTTGAGACAGATGATAACACATTGCTTCAAGCACAGTTTGAGGTGATACGGATTCAAACCTGCAAACAGTCAATCTCAAAGACACTCGTGCCAGAACAGAGAAATCACCCTGATGCGTTACTGTTGGTAAGAGTTTTACCAAGCATTTCTTTCTGATTGTAGCTACAATAAGAGTTATCACTTTGCCGTGGTTTGAGCCTGCAAACACAAAGTAACACAGCTTTTCTGTTTGTTTCTGTAAATTAAATTCATAGATTTTATCCTCCTTTTGCCTCATAGGAGCAGAGGAGGTTGTACTGTCTGTGCTCGGTTTGTGCTCCACAGGCTCATACAGACTCAGATTTTCCAACTCTTAGACCAGCTGTTTGTGTGTTTTGCCAAACCCTCCAAGAGTAAAGCTTTCTCTCATAGGACTGTGGAGCATGGACGTCATTTTCTCTTTAGAAGTGGGGGGGACACAGGGAGTGTGTGCGTGTGGGGGGATCTTTACAATATGCTCTAATGGGAAACAGGCTTCAACACAAATGGCTGTTTTCCACTTGGTGCTAGAGCTCAACCAGTGTCAATTTAATATAGTGTAATATTGTTTTTGGATGGTAAAAAGTGCAGGGGTCAAAACTTGACTTTGGAAAAAGTGGGGGGGACATGTCCCCCCTGTTCCCCCCCCCAAAATTACGTCCATGCTGTGGAGACTGTTTTCTTAATGAATCTCAGCTGCCCCAAGGGGTCAGAGCGCACTCTACTAATGGCGTGGCCACTTCAGGGGCGCTGTTTTAGGGCGTTTCAGTTGGTGACATTTGCTCGGCTGCTAGCCGGGGGGCTTGTAGGTGGAGTTCCTTCAGGGAACATTGGTTATATGCATAACCTAATGCTTCTGGGCTCAGCTGGTCCACCCCAGTCAGAGATTTGCAGCACCAGCAAACAAACATCCGCTAACTTTGGTTAGCTAAGTTAGCTCGTAACTGGGAAAGTAATGACTGACTGAGATCCTCAGAGACGTGCTCTTTACTAATTTTTGGATTTTCTGGATGTGACGACACTTGTGACACGCCCAGGTGAAGATGTGGACAATAGCAGGTTGAGCGGGTTGTCCAGTAATCGGAAAGTTAAAGGTTCGATCTCGGCTGCAGACAGAGAATTCTGCTGTTGTGTCTTTGGGCAAGACACTTAACCAAACTTACCTGCTGGTGGTGGTCAGAGGGACCGGTGGCGCCTGTGTTTGGCAGACTCACCTCTATCTGTGTGTCCCAGGGCAGCTGTGGCTACTTTGTAGCTCATCAGCATCAGTGTAAAGGGATGCACTGTAGTGTAAGGCACTTTGGAGTCTTGTGACTCTTAAAAGGCACTACACAGTGCGGGTCATTTATCATTTCCCAATGATCGGAACTACCCATTGAGCCTCAACTCAGACCTTAAGGAGCTTATAGGTGACTTCACGGAGGGTTTGCCCAGTATTTTGTAAAGTCATTGGGTTGGACATCTTTAAGAATTATCTTATAGAACTTTGCTGAAGTGTAAGGAGTCTCTGTTTGTAGTTCCTGGTTTCATGCAGATGCAACAATATTATTATATTAATATAAGGCAATATGAGATGAATGGGAACATTTTGAATTAATTGAAAGAAAGAAAGAAAGAAAGAAAGAAAGAAAGAAAGAAAGAAAGAAAGAAAGAAAGAAAGAAAGAAAGAAAGAAGAAAGAAAGAAAGAAAGAAAGAAAGAAAGAAAGAAAGAAAGAAAGAAAGAAAGAAAGAAAGAAAGAAAGAAAGAAAGAAAGAAAGAAAGAAAGAAAGAAAGAAAGAAAGAAAGAAAGAAAGAAAGAAAGAAAGAAAAAGAAAGAAAGAAAGAAAGAAAGTGTGGGAATGGGAGAAAAGGATAGCTTTGTGTGTGTGTGTGTGTGTGTGTGTGTGTGTGTGTGTGTGTGTGTGTGTGTGTGTGTGTGTAGGTGTGTGTGTGCGTGTGCGTGTGCGTGTGTGTGTGTGTGTCATGTCTGCCTTTTGTTTACCTTATGGAGCAGACTTTCCCGCGCGTATTAAGCGCCGCCCACAGGCTCAGGGATTTCCGCATTCTTGAGAAGTCCCTCGAATTTATATGTGAACTCTATACCATCCAGCCCGACCAAACACAGACCGTGCCGACGTTAATGTGTAAGTGCTATAAGGGTGGTCATGCAAAAGCCAGTTTGAACAGATGAGACTTCAGCTGCTTTTTAAAGGAGACCACTGAGTCCACTGATCTCAGGCTCGTGGGGAGAGAGTTCCAGAGTCTGGGGGCCACAGCAGCAAATGATCTGTCACCTTTGGTCTTTAGCCTGGTGCTGCACAACCAGTAGGCTTTGATCACTGGACCTCAGGGACCTGCTGGGGGTGTAGGGACTAAGAAGATCACCAATGTAAGATGGTGCTTGTCCATGTAAGGCCCTATAGACCAGAACCAGGATCTTGAAATGAACCCTGAAGTTGAGTGGCAGCCAGTGAAGCTGGAGGAGAAGCGGGGTGATGTGGGTGTGTTTGGAGGACTTGGTCAGAAGCCGAGCACAGGCATTCTGAACCACCTGTAGACGGTTCAGGGAGGTTCTGCTCAGACACGTGAAAAGAGAGTTACAGTAGTCTAAGCGTGAGGAGATGAAGGTGTGGAGAACTGTCTCAAGTTCAGAGCGGGACAGAATGGGACTCAGCTTAGCAATGTTCCTGAGATGGAAGAAGGAAGAGATGAACAAGAACGAATCCACATGAGAATCCAGGGTGAGAGCTGGGTCAAAGGTCACGCCAAGATTCCTGACGGAAGGTTTGGTGTGAGAAGCAAGCTGACCAAGAGAGTCTCTGACTTTGGGAACCAGCTTGTCTGGGGCACAGATGAGGATCTCAGTCTTATCTTCAGTCAGCTGTAGAAAGCTCCCAGCCATCCAGGTTTAAATAGAGTCTAAGCAGGTGTGTAACAGCTGCAGCTTAGACATCTCATGGGGCTTAAAGGAGATGTACAGTTGGGTGTCTTCTGCATAAACATGGTAGGAGATTCCTCTAAAGGAGCTCAGGGTGTGCTGCAGAGGAAGCAGATGAGGAGGAAGAGAGGCACAGAACATTGTAGGACACCATGGGTGAGGAAGATGGTGGAGGACCTAAACTTGGAGACAGCCACAGAGAGACAGCGCTCAGACAGATAAGAGGAGAACCTCTCCAGAGCAGTTCCTGATGGGCCGACCCAGTCTCTCAGCCTCTCCAGTAGCAGGTGATGGTCAACAGTGTCAAAGGCTGCAGTCAGGTCCAGCAGGACCAGAACAGATCAGTCCCCTGCATCACTGTGAGTCAGAAGGTCATTAGAGACCCTAAGAAGAGCTGTTTCAGTAGAATGAGCTCTACAAAAACCTGACTGGAAACTAACTAAATTGTCATCATTTTTATTGTGGAGTGATTTATTTCAGATTATTTCCTCAGGATGAATTATTTCTTTGAAAATATTCCAATTATTTACAGAAACAGCCTCAAGAAAATATTGAACAAGTTTTAATTATTTTGCATAAAAATTTGAATGTGACATGGCAGCAACAAATGACATAACACAGAGAGCACTTTTTTCTAGTGAAATCTCTGGCTTCAGTAATCTCCACGTTCATCTGTTACAGCACCCACTTCAGTTGGATTAAAAACATTATTTTTTACAAATGTGCAGACAGATTTCCAACTCTAATTACTTAAGAGAGCAGGCCTGCAAGCAGTGGCACAACAAAACAATTAAGTTAATTTTAGACTTGGTAATTACACCAAAGCACTGAAAAAATAAAAATAAGAAGACATTTACAGGGTTGACTAGTCATCTGCACCTAATTATTTCAATACGGAGCCTTTGTTCTACAGTCATTGGACTCAACAGTATTATTAAAAACCCAGAAACACAAGCATGTCTGATGCAACACAGCATGCAAATCTCCTGAGTAATCAGAGGTGGTGCTATGGTCGGTGGTGGTCCTCACATACGTGCTGTTTAGTGTCCTAATGAGTCTGGCATTTACACCATCAGAGTTCAGTGGGAGGCGGGTAATTAGGCCTCACTTTAGCAAATGTCTCATTTACAGATAAGCACTTGAAGTATTGAACTGTCATGGAAAACTGGGTGTGGATTGGAATTATTTATTTATTTATTTTTTTGCAGTGTTAGTTATTAATAAGGACTAAAAGCTCTTCGTTTTCTCTCCAAGAGTCCCAAATGATTTTTTTGTCTATTTCTAACCAGTTTGCATTATTTATTTTTCATTATTAATTAAAAAATGCAAATGTTTGTGAGAGCAAACTTTTTTCTGGAACACAACAGACAACATACAAAGCACACAAAGGGAAAATGGAAGGGAATGAATACTGTACCTTTTTTACCTGTAAGGGACACACACCTGACAAAAGGCTAGCTTTACATCCAGGACTGGTTGGCTGCAGTTATATAAGAAATGTCTGCTCATAAATACCTGCAGGACACAAACAGAAGAGAGGTCGAGTCAGAATTGGAGAACAACTGGAAAGGACAAAAATTTGAGCTGAAATGATTTATGGGAAATGGCCGGACTCAACATGAACTATCCCTGGATTAAATAAAATAATAAAAATGCATGGTAAATAGGTTCATCTTCATCAATATTATGATTAATATGCACATGAGTAGCTCAATTAATTTTCTCTATTCATCTGAGATTCTTGGAAATTTGTCCTTGCATTTCTCCTTTGCATAACTGAATTCCCCAGTAAATTCACAGCTGCATTCTCTCGTCTTCATCTCTATCAGTCTCAATAAAAATGAGAAAAACAGCAGGTCACCACCACCTACTCCTCTATAAATATAAACCAACCGATACAGCAGAAGCAGCACCTTGACACGTGTGTTCCTAGATGCTGGAGTCAGAGGAAAACCTGATGCCTTTAAAAAACTAAAACCTTATGCTACTTTTATTTTTGATTATCTACAGCGCACTAAGACTGATTAAACAAAAAATATATGTATGTGTACACATGTGTTTGTTTAAGTTTAAGCTATACGCTCTAAAAGAGGTGTGGACAAAATGAAGCCCGGGGGCCATTTGCGGCCCCCAGTTGCATTTCAAGAATGACAATTTTTGTTTCTCAGATGCGTTGCTGATAGTTTAACATTTTCTACCTTCTCTATATTCATATTTTACCTAATAAGGCTATTTTAAACCTGTTTTTTTTTTTTTTGGCCTGCAAGGTTGATTTACTTGAAAATATCTGCCCTTGTTTTAAAAAGTAATATATATGCATATATGTCTGACACAAACTGGGTGCATAGATAGACTTATCACCAAAAGAACAAACAAAATACAATAAAACGTATTTTCATTCATTCAAATGAAAAAAAATCAAAATTTGAAAACTCTCTCCCACATCTTACCAGTTAAACAACAATTGGATAAATATTCCAACATCAAACAAGAATTATTCTTCTACAAATGTCTGTTTGTATTCCAATCAAACTCTTCTAAACCATGAGCTGAGTCATGTTTCCATGCAGCTCTGAAACATTTTTAGCACTGTGTTCTAGTTAGTATTAGACTCATGAACATAACACATTTATGGAAAATTGAATGTAACACTGAAATGACTCACTGTAGGGTCAGTAAATTAACAAAAAGGGTTATGAAGTGATACTTTCTGCTGGAAGTCTCAGCTTGATGAAACCATCAGCCTCGTCTCCGAAAAAGCTGTTCTAAACCGATACCATCCATCCAGCCAACTGGAAGTTCTCCATGCTTTCGTTCTTTTTTAAACACAGAAACAGTTTTGTTTACCTGTTTGTAGCTACGGCACACCTAAGATGTTCAAACTGGAAGTTCTGCTGAAGATACCAGCTCTGCCTTTTAGAAAGAACATATGAAATATAAAGCTAGATAAAGTCACTATATACTTGGGTTCGAGCTTTCACACAAGTACAGGCCATTCATGGTGCAAGCGTTCATCCAGTCTGCTACAGGGCTTACACCCAACATCCATCTGATGTTGTAAACCATCCACTGTAAAATCCAATTTTTTTTAACATTACTTTATAAAAGCATGCAAACCAATTGCACTTTAAATAAGAAAACAAGCATAGAAAACTGGGTGTTTTAAGTTGTACACTTATCTATGAGTTAAGCAAATGAAACAACCAAGTAGTGTGTACTTGACAACTTTTTTAAAAGTACCCTCAACTTAGTAAAGACAACAAAACATATTATTTTAATCTACTACATTATTGCATATGAATTTTACTCTGTTTAGTCCATAATAGACATATCTAAATTGGACTATGTTTATGTTTATGTTTATTTATTTAGCAGACGCTTTTATCCAAAGCGACTTACAATTTATAACCTATAGGGCATGTTGTGATCTATCTTAGTTTTTCTAAGTCATATTTAAACAGCCATCTAACTTACTTGCTCAACCATGCAAACATGCAGATTACCCTTTAAAAAATTAGGTATGACGAGCCTCAAATATCTGCAGAAATGAAAAGCAGATTCCAGTCTTGTTAGTGCACCCCTGGGGAGTTGGGGCTACACTGTAGCTCATAACATATCTGTGTGTGTGTGTGTGTGTGTGTGTGTGTGTGTGTGTGTGTGTGTGTGTGTGTGTGTGTGTGTGTGTGTGTGTGTGTGTGTGTGTGTGTGTGTGTGTGTGTGTGTGTGTGTGAATTATTGGCTGTGTTGCTTTGGTGGGTTGTGGAACACTAAGAGTTGCAATATAAATACAGACCATTTACCATAAAATAATCTGAATTACAACTTAATAAATACACGTAATACAATTGAATGTTCAATTTTATCCATTTTTATAACTATTGTTCTTTTGTCTAGTTGGAGGACTGTTCTGATCTTAAAATCTTAAAATCTCAAAATCTTCTGATCTTTAATCAATTTCCCTCTGGGATTAATAAAGTATTTTTGAATTGAATTGAATTGAATTGAATTGAATTGATCTCTCATACAGATGTTGTGCTTTTTGAGTTATGCACTTTGTTCTGATTCTTTGTTTTTCAGACATTGTGTTCATTGACTTTGGATTTCCTCCACCATCCTTATCACCAAGCCTCTCACACCTGTTCCCCACCCATGATCAGTTCATCTGCACACACTCCATAGGCTATCCCCTTTCCCTATATACTGGGGAGGAAAAAGTTTCAAAAGATCTGTGCGTGTGTATCTAAATCTGTGTATGTGTGTCTATATTTGTGTGTGTGTGTAACTTTTGATTTGTAACGTGTGTTTACATTTTGGTGTGTAACTTCAGTTCTTACACGTACAAATCATTAAGTACGCACACACAAATCACCTGGTACACACGGACAAAACTACATTACACACAGATCAGTTTACAAGTACAAAAATCCTTTTGAGACTATTTTCCCACCAGACTTGATTTGTGCATACATGGTGCGTTTGAATGCTCGGTGGAAGCTGGGAAATCCAAATTTCCTTTGGATTTAGTCTAAACTTGTGTTGATGGGACAAATATGTTTTTCTGTAGAAAAACATAGTATCTCAGGATCCTGTAGTTATAAAAGATAGACCTACGTTTAATTTTTAATTATCTAAAATTGTTTATTTAGACATGTGTTTGTGAGCCATGAAAACGTAGTGAAAGGTTATAAGAAATGACTAATAAATGGCAGAGTGATTCCCTGACTGGAAAAAGGCAGGGTTCAAAAGGAAAAAAGGCACAAGAAGATGGTACGGAGTCATAGGGTGCCTAAGTCACACTCATCTACTTTCGGCCCCCGGAAGAATGAAAGAATGAATGCAAGTCAATGGTGCTAAAACGCTCTTTTCTAATTCCACTTGTTATGTGCCATGGATTTCACATATGAGGTCCGTGAATTTTAAAGACACATTTTGATGCCTAGAACTCGCTTATTTTCGAACGGGGGGAAACGCTATTTTAGGTTTAGTGTAAAAACAAGTCCAGGAGTACAAATGCGCACGAAAAGTGATGCCATCGAACCAGAAAGAGGGAAATGGCTGTAAGTTCAGCAAACTTCAAATCCTTCCTTCAGGAGAAAACAACCACCATAAATCTGCGACTGGCGTGGTCGAAACACCCATCATTAGTTTTCATTTAAATAGTTTTCATTATTGTGCACACACATAAACTGGCCCAAGAGCCACTTCCTTGTCTGGGGACAGTGTGTCAATCTTTCAGACCTATAAAACATCTTAAATGGTTTAAAATAATAGCTGTCTCATTATAACCTGACTGCAAAGCATGCTGGATTTACTTTTACCTACTTCAGAGGAAAGACCACCTTCTTCTTGTGCCTTCTCCCAGTTTGAAGCCTGCTTTTTCCAGTCAGAGAACCACTTTGCCATTATTAGTCATTTCTTTTAAACCTTTGACTATGTTTTCATGACTCACAAACACACGTCTAAATAAACTGTTTTAGAATAAGAAGAATAAGAATACCTTTAGATGATTAAAAATTCAATGTAGTTCTATCTTTTATAACTGCATAATCCTGAGATACTATATTTTTCTACAGAAAATCATACTTGTCCAGTTAACACAAATTTAGACTAATTCCAAAGAAAATTCAAATTTCCCAGCTTCCAGCCAGCATTCAAACGCACCATGCACGCACAAATCAGTCAAGTGAGAAAATAGTCTCTAAAGGACTTTTGTACTTGTAAACTGATCCGTGTGTGATGTAGTTTTGTCCGTGTTTACCAGGCGATTTGTGTGTGCGTACTTAATGATTTGTATGTGTAGGAGCTGAAGTTACACACGAAAATGTAAACACAAGTTAGAAATCAAGAGTTACACACGCACAAATCTTTAGTTACACTCACACAAATCTAGTTACACACGCACAAATGTAGATACACACGCACAGATCTTTTGAGACTTTTTTCTCCCCATACTATACCCCCTGGTTTGTCATTCCCACTGTTAGATCCTCTTCTGAGTGTGACATGCACGCTTTGCATCCTTGTTCCACGTATGCTCCTGTGTGTCCCTTTGTGCAAACATTTGTTAATTGCTAGTTTTATTTCTTAAGTTCCTGCTTCACTCAGTTTTCCTTTTGCAGACATTTTAAGGATATACTTTCAAACAAACCCATGTTTAAATGTGCAAATGAGAGAATGTGCTCTTTGAACTGAGGAGGACTACCTAAAACTAATACCATCACTGCTCAGGCTTTAATGTCTGGGCTAACTCCTAAGGGAGTGAGTCCGTTTTAAATGCAGAAATGTAGGACACGAATGTTGGAGACTTCAACTTTTTTTCCTGACCTTTTTACAAAGTAGCACACCCCTATGCCATATAAGTCCACCAGTGGCTGTGGTGCCCATGCACAACGCAATTTGATCTAACTTTGTCATTTATTTCCTATTTAATGAGAAAAGGATAAAGGTAACAGCCGTAACAGATCATTGCTTAAGAGAAAACCATATAATGGACTGGGACAGCACACGGATCATAA